TTCAGTACATTGACTTTACTTTAAAGCAGCAGCAGGACATGTCCAACGGAGCCTACGATGAAAGACTCAAGTTTTTCCAAGACGAGTTTTCTAAGCCGGTTGACCCATTGCCGCTCTTCCCCTTTGCTAAAGTCAGCACACGCAAATCATTGAGACAGTACGCAGTTAGAGACGTTGTCACGCACGTCAATGCTGACGTTATGGGCGCACTGAAGAAGGCGGCCCAAGCCTCTCGGACTACCTCTTTCCACTTCTTCCTCTCAGCCTTCCAAGTTCTGCTTCACCGGCTGCTGGACACTGAACAAATGTGTATTGGTATGGTAGACGCAAACCGTTCTGATCAGAGCTTCAGAAACAGTATAGGTTTCTTCTTAGAAACCATCCCTGTTTCGTTCCGAATCGATAGCGAGCAGAAGTTTAGTGAGGTGCTTCAGACCACCCGAACCAAGGCATATTCGGCGCTTGCGAAGACCGGTGTCCCGACTGAGGAGATTCTTCGTGCTTGTAACATCCCAGCGTCAACGACTGAGACGCCGCTCTTCCAGGTGGTCTTTAACTACCGCATGGGAGCTAGTCGAACCTCTCCGATGGAAGGGGTGGATATGAAGTTTCTGGATTACGCCGACGCGAAAAACCCCTTCGACCTTGTAGTGTCCGTTGATGAGTTGGAAGACGGCACTGCCATGCTTACGTTCTCCCTACAGGACTACTTGTATGACCAGGAAGGCGCAGAATTGCTTGCCAACGCATATACCTACTTGCTTGATATGCTGTCTGAAGACATCAATCGTTCAGTTGGTAGCGTCCCTGTGTTCCCCACAAATCTAACGGACAAGGCTGTCGCGCTTGGTACGGGCCCCCAGGTGGAACTTGCGCCCCCTTCTGCTGGCACTCTCTCCCAGATTATCATTAACTGGGTAGACAAAGACCCTGAAGGTATTGCAGTTAAAGATAGCAATGGCAGTATAAAAACGTATTCGCAGTTGCTAAAAAGGGCTAACGCTATCTCGGTCGCGTTATTGGCTGCCGGAGCAGCATCCTCGAGACCAATCTGCGTGCTCCTTGACCCAGGGGTAGACACGATTGCTACTATACTCGGTGTTCTCCGTGTTGGCGCGGCCTACGTACCCCTTGATGTCCGCAGTACTAATGAAAGACTGGCCGATATCCTGAGAGAGTCTAATTCAACGATCGTACTTTACGATGCCGCTACTACAGACCGGGCCAGGGAGCTTCACAGGATTTCTGGCACGGCTGAGCCGATTAGCTTCGTTACTCTCGAGGAAGTGCCTCAAGATGTGGAGGAGAGAGTTCGGGATGCATCGACTGTAGACGGCCTTGCAATGATTCTTTATACTAGTGGTTCGACAGGAAAGCCCAAGGGGATCCCACTCACCAATGGCAACATCCGGACCACTATCCTCGGTGTCTCCGACCGGGCCCCATTGGGCCGAGAGGTCGTGCTGCAACAAAGCGGACAGGGCTTTGACGCAGCTTTATATCAAATATTCATTGCCTTGGCCAACGGCGGTACGTTGATCATGGGTGATAACCGCCGTGACCCGGCAGAATTGGCTGCTCTGATGGTACACGAGGGTGTCACTTGTAGCGTATTCATTGTCTCAGAGATGCAATCCATGTTGAAGTACGGATACGAACAGCTCCGTGAGTGCTCTACATGGCGCATTGCCATGGTTGCTGGGGAGGCTTTCACGCAAAATCTCCTCGAGCAGTTCCGCGGCCTTGACCGGAATGATCTGAGAATTTTCAATGCATACGGCCCGACTGAAGCATCTATTTGCTCTTCCATGCATGAAGTATTGCCTGGTGGCAACGCAATCGACTTCAGCATTCCAATCGGTAAGGCTATTGCCAATTACGGAACTTACATTGTTGATGACCAGTGCAACCCTGTTCCCATTGGATGGCCTGGAGAAATCGCAATCAGTGGGCCAGGTGTCGCGAGTGGATACCTTGGTCTCCCTCAGCTTACTGAGAGCAAGTTCAAGGACCACGCCTTGGTCAAGGGACCTTCCGGCTGGGATAGGCTTTACCTCACCGGCGATAAAGGTCGGATGCTCTCGGACGGCTCCATCGTGATATCTGGACGTATTGATGGAGACGACCAGGTGAAGATTAGAGGCATGCGGGTTCAGCTGAACGATGTCTCCAGAGCCATTGTGCAAGCATCCCGCGGCAATCTCGTGGATGTGGCTGTTCTAGTCCGAGGTGATAGTAGTAACCAGCAGCTCGTCGCCTACGTTGTGTTCTCTAGGACCAGCCAAATTCACGACAAGGGAACCTATCTGCGTCAACTCAGCCAGGAGCTTCAGATGCCACTGCACATGCGCCCAGCAGTCATGATTTCCTTAGATATCCTCCCGGTAACACAAAGAGGTAAGCTTGACAGCCGCAAATTGGCGGCTTTGCCTTTGCCGTTGGTTTCTGTCGAGGAGGAGACCAGCGAGAAACTCACGGAAGAAGAGGTGCGCTTGCGAGAAGCTTGGAGACGTGTCCTAGGTGAGACATCCTCCTTTGTGCCTATCCATCGCAGCTCCGACTTCTTCTCCGTTGGTGGTAATTCTTTGCTTCTGCTACCCCTCAAGGCAGAGATTCGTCGAGTATTTGCAATTGATCTCTCCCTACCGGAACTTTTCCAAGCTAGTACTCTCGAATTGCTAGCTTCACGGCTCACGGGCAATTTCCAGAATTCGCAGATCGACTGGGAAAAAGAAACAAAGGTGGATGAGCAGATGTTCGTACCACCCACTGAACAGAGGATCTCAACTCGCAGTGCTGAGGGCATTTCTGTTCTCCTCACGGGAGCCACAGGCTTCTTGGGAACTGCTATTCTACGCCAACTAGTTGAATCTTCCCACGTAACCCGTGTTCATTGCGCAGCTCTTCGCCCCAATGGCCAGGGCGAGCCTCGAGAACTGGGCGTCGACTCGCCAAAGATCGTGCGCCACGCCGGCGATCTCGCGCTCTCCGATCTAGGAATGACCCAAGCGGAAGTGGATGATCTGTTCCCTGATGTTGATGTCATTATTCATAACGGAGCCGAAGTATCGCACATGAAAAACTATCGCACCTTGAGAACTACTAATTTCCAGTCTACCGTTGAACTTGCCCGTCTGGCTGTACGTGGGCAAATCCCGATCCATTACATCTCTACAGGTGGTGTCACTAGGCTGAGTGGCGCCTCAGTGCAGCCTGAGTCGTCATTGGCGGCCTTCCATCCACCGGTTGACGGCTCGGACGGATATGTCGCGTCGAAGTGGGCGAGTGAAGTCTTCCTCGAGAAGCTTCAGAAGCAGTTCCGCGGGCAAATTTGGATCCACCGTCCTAGCAGCATTACTGGTGACAATGTGCCGGCCCTGGACATTGTCCACAGTGTGTTGCGATACTCTAGATTGATGAAGGCCGTTCCTGATCTTACCGGTTCTACAGGAGCGTTTGATTTCATTCATGTTGATACTGTCTCGAGAGACATTGCGAACTGCGCGGTGGCAAGCACCAACAAGAAGCAGCGAGAGTCTGACAACGTGCTCAACTACGTACACCAGAGTGGCGAGGAAGTTGTGCCCGTTGATCAGTTGAAGGAGTACTTAGAAGGTTCCGCAGTTGGCTCGTTCAGTGTGTTGCCACTGCAAGAGTGGGTTTGTAAGGCACTTGGGGAGGGCTTGGATGAGGTTCTGGGCTCGTTCCTGCTAGCCTCCAAGGGTGTGATTAGAGTGCCACTGATGGAAAAGAGTCGTCGAAATGAGTGAGGGGTGGTGATCTAGATGCATATCGCGTTGACATGGTTTATTTTGTTTTCTTTTTTTAGATGTACTTATTGACGATCTTTGCTTCCATTGAATATGAGAATAATTTCTTGAACTTTATGCAACCTTATAGAATACTGTCGTTTGGGAATTCCAATAGAACTTTGAGCTGTATGCTTGGTCCTTGTACACTATTCTTTTTTCGGACTTCATAGATAGTAACAAGAGAAGACAAAGATCTATTTGGCTTGGCACTGAAAAACACACGATTATTCCATAGGCTGTGACTCGTTGCACCATCCTAGCAACCGCAAGGGTCGGATTTTTGATTTCCCATTCGATTGGGTTCGCCTATTTAATTCTTTTCACCAAGACCAGTAACTGTATTCTAATTTGCCAATAATATTGTTGGGAATGTCATCCCCTTCACAAAATCCATAATTAGGACACTTTGTGTCTGTGCACGATTGTTATGTACAGCTACAATTCTTTCAGAAAAGAACCACGCCAGACAGAAAAAACACCAACCATCCGAAGGACAAACGACCTTAAACCGAAACCCTAATAGATTCTGACTTGGGCAATTCGGTCCGAACCGAGTCGGCGCCGTACTGGAATGAGTTTAACGTACCGAATGGATGCCAGACTGAGTTAAGATGCCGAAAGGTGGGCCCGAACATCATGCCCGATTCCAACTATAATCTCTCCGCCGAACTACGGAACTGGAATACGTTTACACAGTCTCGTAACGTATGTATGGAGATAACACGAATACCAAGTCCGGGCGTATGCGGCTTTTGTACATTCTCATAATAGACTGAATTCCGAATGAGCAGGGTTTGTGGAAGAGTGAAGTCCAGATTTTAGTACGATTTACATTTAGCTTACGTTAGGGTCTAGACTATTGTAATTAATAGGCCATCTGCGAGTTTTCACTGTGCACAATGATAGAGGAAGCGAATGTGTGAAGCCTAGCACCGTGGAAGAAGAGCCAATATCCGCTCTAAAAATGACTCTGCTATCGCAATGGTGGTGGCTCCCGCTGCTGGGACTCGTACTGCATTATGTCGCTGGGAGTGTCGTGAGGCGTCAGCGAATAAAAGGCGCTAAGACACCTCCAGGGCCCAAAGGTACAGTGCTGTAGTCTTTCTTTATTTCTTTCCTTTTGTTTCTGTTTGCTAGGATGTTGTGAATGACGATGCTGCTCTAGGATGGCCTTTGGTGGGAAATGCCATGGATTTGGCTTCGGCTGACAGCACTGATATGATCCATATATTCCGCAAGTGGGCTGAGCAGTATGGTCCCATTACTCAGATCAGCCTCATGGGCGCAAAGCAAGTAATCCTGTCGGAGGAGAAGATTGCAAATGAGCTGTTCGTTAAGAGAGGAAATCGGTATTCGGATCGTGGAGCTCCCCATGCGGTAGAATACATCTCGATGAAGCAAAGCCCTGGGTTCAGAAACAAGGACGGTAGGCTGTGTACCCTACCCCACTGAATGTCGATCATCAATGCTAATGACCAATAGAGGGATGGCGCCGCCAGAGAAAAATGTTACACAGCGCTGTCTCTATGGCTGCAATTAATACTTACCAAAGCCTGATGGACGATGAAGCGACATTTTCTCTATCCGCACTGATCCAGTCGCCGTCGTCGTTCCACGACGAGTTTCTTCGCTATGCTTACTCGGTTCTGACGAGCTCCATGCTGGGGTTCTCCATCCCTTCGGCATCAGATCCCTTCATTCGCGACAATGAGGACTTCACGGCGGAAATTATGAACTCCTTTCGTCCGGACTGCTTTCCCAGTAATGTTTTCCCCATCTTGCAGCACTTCCCCCACTGGCTGGTCCCCAGTTTGCAAAAGATGGAAACCCTCAGAAAGGAATATGTGGGCCAGATGTGGTCGTTTCGGAGAAAGATCCAGGCAAGTATCACGGACGGGTCGGCCATGGACTCTATCTATAAGCATTTCCTGTTGAATCGGGATGATTACACCGTGACCGATGAAGAGTCCGTTCATGTGTTTCAAGCCATGATCGACGGTGGCACCCGCTCCCCGCATAATAACCTCCTCACACTCTTGTTCCTGATGATGGAGTACCCGGAGTGGCAGAGGAAGCTTCAGAAGGAGGTTGACGAAGTTGTTGGCAAGGGTACAATGCCTAGCTACCAAGATGTCCCTAACCTGCCGACAGTGAGAGCGATTGTTAAGGAGGGCGTCCGATACCGGTCTATAATGGCGGAGATGGGAATCAGTCATTGTTTGGAAGTGGATGATATTTACAACGGATACGCCTTCGAGAAGGGAACTGTGTTCCATGCAACTTTTGCGTAAGTGATATTCATCAGCATCACTGGCCTTCTTCAGGCCTGTTAACTGTGCCAGATCTATCCTGATGGACAAGGAGATGTATCCCGACGGAAAGTTGTTCAACCCAGCCCGTTGGCTGGAGCCCAGCTATCCGACCTACAAGGAACCTCTCACTGTCTACCCTACCTGCCAAGGTTATCCTGCGTTTGGCTATGGTCGAAGAGCCTGCCCTGGAGTAGACTTCGCGGAACGGAGTTTGGTGATTTTGCTCGCTAAGTTGGGTTGGGCTGTGAATATCGGTTGGCCACTTGATAAAGATGGAAATGAAATTCGGGAGACACTAGAGTATGAGCCAGTACCAGCGCCGAGGCCAATGCGGTTTGGTTGCAGGATTGAACCTAGAGACCCCGAGCGGGTCAAGATTGTCCAGAGCGCGGCTGAGAGATTGAAGATGGACTAGGGGTGGCATGCGGAGAGTCGTTTTACAGACCAATGGTTGTATATTTGCAAGAATATATTTCTGATCTTGTACTATGTTGATGGTTATGAAGAATAGGGCAAAAATCTAGATTATGCTGGCGTTAGGTTCGTGGTATGGAGGGTTGTACTACCGGTCTATGTAGTAGATTGCGAAATCCGAAGTCTGCGTGGTATGCATCATCGAGGCTGTATGTCTGTAGGTCTAAAGTTGTCTATTTCCAAGATTCTACAGCTATGGATGCCACGTCCTTGCCTCGCACCACGCCAATCTCATGGCCACCCTTCATGACGTGCAAGTCAACATCCTCGCGACAGAGAAGCCCTTCCATATCCTCGAGAAATTCATCTTTCACGACGATAACATCCCGTTCCGCGAGAATCAGGGAAACACGTCCACCCGGTAGACCGGGTGGTGCATCTGCTGTTCGACGACGCGCCAGTTCGTCTCTCAGGACTTTCCATATTCGGTCAAAGCGCCTATAGACCAAAGAACCTAGGATGGTACTTAAATACGATGGTACAAATCCCGGATTGGCGCGGAGCTGCCATCGGATCACGTCACCGATCCTCACCTGCGGTCGATCCGCCGCAATCGGCACTGCGTCGAAGTCAACATCTGCGTCCTGGGTTCCATCGGGGACATCTGCACTTGGAGCGCCGTTGCTCGGTTCCAGGTCGCGACGAAGGAGTCGGAGGCGTAGCCACTCTGGGATGAAACTAGATGAGTAGAGGACCTGACTTCGGCGGCTGATATGCGATGTGCGGATTAGTCCTCCCGGACAGATGAGAGTTATTGAACGAAGCATGGTTGCGTGGTAAGCGGCAAATGCGACCGCGATCGAGCCGCCGAGGGAGAATCCTATGATATGGAAGGCGGATGACCCCGTCCAGGCGAGCGGGGAAGATGAGAGAACTAGCAGAATCTGCGTAGTGTAGAGCCGAGCATCATGTGGGAGATCATTCGGCGTTTCTGAATAGCCTCTACCGAAGAGGTCTGCGGTACAATTGTTAGCAACGGTGGTTCCTTGCGGTAGTGTATCTATATCGCCAGAATGAGAAGACAAGGCTCACCGAACATCATCACCCGGTAGCCCCTACGCACAAACTCCTTTGCCATATTCCCCAGGGCAATGCATGGAGTGCCCAGACCGTGCACCAACAAGACCTTCTCGCCATGTTCGGGTCCCCATTCAAACACCTGAATTGTTCCGTATACTGTCTGAACTCGCCTTCCTCCAGGAAAAGCATCCGCTGGGTAGGGTAACTCGGTAGGTTGCTGCTGCTTGTGGTCGGCGCCCACCTGGGCCTTTGCGCGTGTAATTGTATGCTCTTCCGGTAGGTGTTGTATACCTTGAAGAAAGTAGCGGGGGTGCCCGTAGAAAGCGAAAAATATCGTTGCCGTTAGCGCTCCTAAAAGCGGCGCCGGCTTGACAGCCAGTAGCTGGTTTAGATCTACCATGATTGAGTTGAGATACTATAGAAAGAGAATGGCAACTGTATGATTATCTAGTTCTATAGATCAAGTCCTTATTATCCTATGGTGTTCCATATCCTGGCCCTTCTGTCTAAATTAGCGTCGGTTGTTCGGGGTTGATATCCAGCTCTGGGTAAGCTCGAGATGTCGGTGGTCTGGATGCTTTCGGCACCGCGTATACGTACTCTCCTGCGGAGGATTGCCATTAGAAGTATCAGATAGGTCTAGCCTCTATATGATTCAACTATGTGAAACCGAAGCATGCGCTTCGGCGTGAAGCAGACTATTGGTCCAAGTCCTGGAATTTCTACCTTATGAAAGGTGCCCTAAGCGATGAATGAGATCGAATAAAAGAACACTAGGCTGGGAATATAGATGTTCATTGAGTTATATACCACAAGAATAAACACGATCACAAAGTTTGTCATTAACATTACAATCATAGTCCTTTTCAGCTCAACTGGATCTGAACAGTCCCCGGTATCACCCCGACCGCAATGGCGACTCTATAATTGACCAGCTGAAGAGATCGAGTCGCTTCGGTGCATGCGATGAGGTATGTTTTGAAAGTTAGAGTGAGTACTCTCGATATTGACACGCAGCGAACAAGCCCGTTCCGAGAGGGGTTTCGGAAGATGGTAGGCCTTTTGGTGTACGATCAGGATCGTTTCGTTTCGTTTCTCCTCATCTAACCCCTATAGAGAGTACCACTCAACAAAGACTTCATCGCTACTTGATATATCTCGAGAGCCAGTTGTGGGAATTAACGCTCCGACGGTTTAGTTGAGGGTCTCAGGAGCAGGCTCGGCCTCACCTTGCTTGGGGGGCACATTGGTCAATTTTGGTTCGTCGAGGAATTCGATCTTCTCGGTGACAGCAGAGTAGATGGGCTGGTTGATAATGTGCTCAAACCAACGAGAGACGTTGGGGTTGGCTTGGCGCCATTCCTTGCCATAGAAGAACATGAAGCCGAGGGAGATAATCCCGGCGCAGAAAATGTCGGCCAGAGAGATCTCCCCACCGACCAGGAAGGTTTTGCCGTCCAGGTGCTCTTCCACCACGTCAACAGCTGCCTGGGCCATGTTGGCGAACATATCCACCGTCTCTTTGTTGTAGGGACGGATGCCGACCAAGGGAAGATACTTCTCGACAAGGGGGATGATGATTTCAGAGTTGAAGAAGGACATCCATTTCAGAATGTTGGCATAGTCCTGCTTCGTCTTTCCGAGGAGCGTAGTCTCCTCATTCTGGGAGGTGACTAATACCATGTGAGCTTCGGGCGTACGAAAAGGAGGGCATCGACGTACTGTAAATGGCGATGGCCATGCACTCGAAGAGCATGAAGCCATCCTCGCCGACAAACGCAGGAACCTTGCCCAGTTTGCTCACCGCAAAGTGGGCAGGGGTCTTGGGCTCTTCAACGATCTTGAGATCGAGGTTGTTGGCCTTAGCGACCGCTTTGATAGCGATGGTCCGAGGCTGGTCGCCCTGGAATGGAGTTGTTATTATATGTAGGGGCAGGGAGATGATCGACCACTTACGGGGAAAGTGTAGATAGTGCCGAAAGCCATTGTTACTGCTCAGATCTCAATCGAGCAAGGGATGAGAAATCTAAAGAAATGTTATTCAACAGTAAATACTTGTCTCTCATCAATCTTAGTATGCTAGTCTTATAAACCTGCTAGGTGTGGGTGGAACCCAAGATTCGGGCCCTAACCCCAAAACCTGTGCAGCCGCCGAACGACCGAACGGCTGAAGAACCATAAAAACATTAGAACACGGCATTGCTAATGGTAAACTTCTATAACTATTGGAACGCAGGTTAAACTCTTATTATGTAGGCGGAAGCCGTACATTCAGCATTTATATACTGGAATTGAAAAACATCATCGAAAAAACTATCGTGGCTAGCTGCAAACGCCCCGCAAGGACAGAAACCGTCGCTTGGGGCCATCGCGCGTCCCTTGTCCTAGCATGGGCATCATGGCTCCCCGATTGCCGACGCAGCCACATCTGCAGGATGAGGTTCTTCTCGAAAGCTTACAGAACCCAGAGGAATTCTGGCGCGCCAAGCGGAGTACCTCCATTGGCACAAGAAGCCAGACACCACACTCCGAATGGCCGAGCAGACACTTCCAGACGGTACCGTTCACCCGACGTGGGAGTGGTTCTCCGGCGGCGAGATATCGACCTGCTATAACTGTGTCGACTGTCATGTAGTGGCCGGCAACGGGGACAAGGTGGCCATATACTATGACAGTCCGGTGACCAATACGAAGGAAAGATATACGTACAAACAACTTCTTGATGAGGTTGAGACCCTAGCCGGAGCGCTTAGGGAAGAAGGCGTCAAGAAGGGAGACGTGGTAATGCTGTATAGTAGGTGTGCCTCTAGGATGCCATGGCATCGATCGTATCGGACTGATTCTGAACCCAGTGCCGATGATCCCCGCGGCGTTAATTGGAATCCTCGCAGTTAACCGTCTTGGAGCCATCCATTCAGTTGTCTTTGGCGGCTTTGCACCGAATGCGCTAGCTCAGCGCATTGACGCCTGTCAGCCAGTTGCTCTCCTCACGGCCTCCTGTGGCATTGTTGGGAATAGGCCTCCCATCGCCTATCAACCACTGGTCGAGGAGGCGATCGATCTGTCTTCGCACAAGCCCGAGAGCACTGTGATCTGGCAACGAAAGCAATTGCGCTGGGAGATTAAGAGCTGGTGGAGCGTCCAGTGGGGATGGCTGCAAAGTATAATCTTTGGAGGCAAGACGACTTGCGCAAACCAAGTGTCCTGGCAAGAGTATGTTAGTAGCGCAAAGGCGCGAGGGATCAAAGCCGATTGCGTAGCGGTCAAGAGCGAGGATCCCGTGTATATTATGCATACCTCCGGGACAACAGGCGCCCCCAAGGGAGTGCGTCGCGACACCGGTGGACACGCTGTGGGCTTACACTTATCCATCAGCTACATTTTTAATATCCATGGCCCCAAAGACGTGTCCTTCACGGCGTCAGATATCGGCTGGGTCGTCGGCCACTCCTACATCCTCTACGCACCGTTGCTCGCGGGCGCTTCCACAGTGCTATACGAAGGCAAGCCGGTGGGGACTCCTGACGCGTCTGCCTTTTGGCGAGTCGTCGAGGAGTACAAGGTCAATACCATGTTTACGGCGCCGACGGCCCTTCGAGCCATCAAAAATGACGATCCGAATAACGAGTCGCTCTCGAAGATTGGTGAGCGCGGAGGGCTACGATCTCTCAAAGCACTTTTCCTGGCGGGCGAGCGTTCAGAACCTACCCTGATCTCTATGTACCAGAATCTTCTGACTCAATATGGCGCACCATCCTGTCACGTTATCGACAACTGGTGGTCCACAGAGGCCGGTTCGCCCATCACGGGGCGAGCACTCACGCCGCATGCGGGGCAGGACCGCAAGACGAGCCTACGGGACTATCCACCACCGCCCGTGAAACCTGGAAGTGCTGGGAAGTCGATGCCAGGGTTTGATGTGCGCGTCGTCGACGACAAGGGTAATGAAGTAGAGCCGGGTCTATGGGGAATATTGTCTTGGGATTGCCGCTGGCGCCGACCGCGTTCCGCACGCTGTGGGGCGACGAGGAAAGATTCTACAAAAGCTATCTGAAGCGATTTGATGGAAAATTTCTCGATACCGGAGACTCAGGGTGGATTGATGAAGAGGGCTATGTGCATGTCATGAGTAGGAACGACGACGTGCTCAACGTCAGTGCCTATCGATTGTCCAGCGGTACGTCAGAAAGTAGTAACAGTGTTGTTTGGATTACTAACAAGACTATTAGGAGCCATCGAGCAAGCCATCTCTTCTCATCCACTGGTGGCGGAAGCCTGCATCGTCGGCATTCCCGACGAGCTCAAGGGCCAACTACCGTTCGCATTCATCACTCTCACTCAATCTGACCACCCCGAGTCTGTTTTACCTAATAGCAAGATTGCTCTCGAGATCCAGTCGCTCGTGCGCAAGCAAGTGGGCGCCTTTGCATCGATCGGGGGCATGATCCAAGGAAAGGGCATGATTCCCAAAACAAGATCGGGGAAGACGCTGCGACGGGTGCTCCGAGAATTGGTCGAGAATGGTGTCCATGGTGAGTTTGCAAAAGAGGTTGCAGTTCCCAGCACCGTCGAGGATGCAGTCGTGGTCGAGGTCGCTCGAGCCAAGGTGAAGGAGTATTTTGAAACGAGTGGTGGGAAGCACAGGGCCATCGAAGCCCGAGAGAAGTCATAAACCATATTGCCAAATCCAACAGGGTGTGTAGTTATTCATAAGACAGGTATGTACTACGCCGTATAGGGCTAATTAAGACCAGAGGTGCGTCATGGCATTAGAAGACCTTTGGTAAGCCAGTGTGTGACATCGATGGGCCCTGAGCTTATAACAGAAGGTTACATGATAGACTCCGACTAGCGAATGTAAAAGAGACATTTATTAGATTATCCATATCTTCCCTGAGTCTTGCCGATTATATTGGCTGAATTCTAAATGAGAGTTATGGAAGTAAAATTTCAAGGCGCCTAGCAGTATAAATTAGGCCGCGGTGTCATACAACGCCACGGCTAGTTGGATTAATTATCTTAGAAGATGATATTATCGGAGTTTCCGTGCTCTCTTGTCAAGAACTAAATAGTTTAAATTGTCCGAGGGCTTCAGTCGCTACCTAGCTGGCTGACTTTAATACTCGTATCCACCTCAAATTGAATGGCAATATAGACAGCGCAGTATATCCGCCCCCAAAAACACTACCCCTTCCAAGTTCAATCGGCTTCCCGCTTCTTATGTCGCTTAGCATGGATCTCCAGACTTTCTACAATGAATCTCTGGTCATATCATCGTCCCCTATCCCAAAACCGATGAGCAAGAAGGGACGGAATGATCTTTCCCGGAAGACACCAGCTGATATTATTGCCCACTTCCTATTTAAATAATTCAGATCGTCTAAGCGAGGTCCCAATAAAAGAAATTTAAGTATATAACTACCCCAGTAGTTATATTCGGCCAATAGAGATAAATCTACAATATAAAATACAAGTCGTTTCCCCAGGGCCCAGAGCTTCTCTAAATAGATATTCTCTACATCCGGCCCTAGGACACTCCTGTGCTTCCAGTTATCCTTGGTTAGTCTTATAAGCAATCTACTTCTATATCGGCTCTCTTATACGCTGGACTGGCCGGTACTAAATTTCTTATAGCTATAATTACCTCATATCAGAGCCTATTCTATATAGATACTCATATATAGACTGCGGCACGGTTTGGTTTGCGGTCTTAGGTTGAAGACCAAAACCAAAAACCTGCGGTTGCGGTTAAACTTAGGGGTCAAAAGTCTGACTACACCCGCCATTTCGGCAAAAAATGCAATGAATTCAAACACGATTTTCTCAACCAGTTTAAATGATATTGATCTACAAATTGATTATATGGATTCCCCATATCAGTACTTTGTATACCAGCCGCGTGCTAGGCGTACAGCCTGAAGTCTACGTGGCATAGAGCGAATAAGGCGATCTATTCGCTCCTAAGGAATAGCCCACCAAGCAGCTTGAATACTCTCCCTAAATTGCGTCCAATCAACCTGTAATCTGCCGCCTAGAAAGAGCTCTGGATAGAGCTCTAAAAGCTTCTTTTTAAGCAGGTTCCAGAGGTGCTCAATAGGATTTAAATCAGGCGAGTGTGCAGGCCAATCCGGCACCCAAATTCCATGCCTTTCAAGCCAGTCCTGCGCCTCGTAGGAAACATGAATCTTTGCATTATCTTGTTGGAATATAGAGCCAGGCTTGTAGATTGGTAGAAGCCCCTTTTCTAGGCAGGCAAGGTAGGATTTGGTGGAGTATCCACCTCGAGGCGATAATTCATCCCGTTCTAGAACGACCAATTCAGATTGGCCACCAATCCATATAGCGCCCCAAACCATTTGAGAAATATCTTTTCCATGGTTTGTTAGATTAACTAGATCTTTTCTATATGCTTCATTAGAAAAGCGGAACACATATTAGGTTGAATTATTCGACTTTCGTTGAACAGAATATTCGTCCGAAAACATTATTTCAGATAAATAGGTAGAATTGGCCCACGTACGCGCAAATTGAAGGCGTTTTTTAGCCACATCAGGTCTTAGAGGTATACGCTTCTTAGCTTTCTATTTTTTAATTAAAAAGTCCTAAATACGCGCTTAATAGTAGAGTGAGAGATTGAAAAACCACTGCTAGCGATCAGGGCCTTGTAGCCTATCTTAGGCCTCCGGCGGGCAAGCAGATATATATAGCGCTTTTCAGCGAAGGTAAGCTTCTAAGGCCTGCCCTTTCTAGGCTTGCTTTTCAAGATATGGTGGTGCTAAAAGTATTTTTTAGTTAAGTAAATAGTAGAGCGACAGACGTTAAATTGCTTTGCAAGTTGAGTAGGCGATATATTATTCTCTAGACCAGATATGATTGCTGCGCGCGTCTCAGTAGAAAGCTCTTGATTCAACCTTCTATTTCCACTAATTTCGGTTCCAAAAGCCCTCATAATGGTGGCGTGGTAGGTAGTTGAAGAAAGTACAATTTTTGACGCGTCGGCGGAAACGCACTAGTGTAGTCAGACTTTTGACCCCCCATGGGTAGCAGGGTGAAAACCGCAACCAAAACCGCAAACTTGCGGTTAACCAAAACCATAGTGCGGTTAACCAATGGTTAACCGCAAATGCATAACTTTCGAAAATCCTTTCTATTTTATTAGTCTCGTGATCTTTATGCAGCTATCTAATAATACATTTTTACACCATATTTTGGTTCTTACAGGCAGATTACGTTAATACTACTAATTGCCTTTAGAAAGTTTTTGAAATCGATTTGTATTCAAGTCTGATTAGGGTATATTAAATGAGTATTAGTATTAGATTTATCCAGAAGAGTAAGTAGGTAATGGTAAATGTGTGGTTATGGATACTTTTGAGACTTAGTTGGCTTTGTTGCGGAAATATATATTAAATACTCTAAGGGAGTTATTCTATTTCTGAGTAAACTGATATTTGAACCTCGATTTCTTTTAATTTACCTTTAACGATAATTTATCTTAGATATAATTTAAAATTAGCCAAAATTAAGTTTTTTAATGATTTTTAATTGAATATAATCCTATAAAAAATAGAAGTAAATTATGAGTTTTAATAATCAGTTAAAGTAGCATATGGTTAGTCTGCGGTTAGTCTGCGGTTAGTCTGCGGTTAGTTTGTGGTCTTTGCGGTGATCTTGCGGTTACCTAGCGGTTATCTATTGGTTAACCAAGATATAACCGCACTACTAGATAGTGGGATCTAATTAGCTTACAGGATTAACCAGCAGACTATAATTGTTTTTAATATCTATTGATTTCCCCTGGTCGTAACTTATTCTCTCTTATTCCAAAGCGAATCCCTAGTAAGTTTCTATTTCTCTCTACCAGACCCCTTCTACTTCGGCCTTTCCTTATTATGGCTTATTCCCAAGTATCTAGTTTTACCGATCAGTTTTCTGAGATTGACTTTTTACAGTTAGACGATCTACCTACCCTTAGCAATACATACCGAACAGCCACTTCGGTTGCCCTGTCTAATCCTCGCCAGTCCTCCTAACAGCTAGCGCCATCCTTATTAAAATGTATTGGTCCTTGGTTCCACCAGATCTGGATACTCTACGATACAAATCCTGAGATGGAGTAATCTCGCTTACAATTCACAGAATAGTGGCTGTAGACTGAGTTTGGAGTAAAGAAAGATGCTAAAGCTTCGATCGGCTGGGATAATAAGAAAAGATCAAGTGTTTGGGATGAATTTGACTAGGTTATGCACGAGAAGACTGGCGAGCCAAAGATCATATGTAAGCGCTGCCATACTACCCTTACTCATCCCTAGTTACGCCGCGGGGGAATAAGCCCGATGAATACGCATCTTAAAAGTACTACTTGCAAGCCTGGGCTGCAAAGAAGAGGGATTGATCAGCTACTACTTCAATCAGTTAATTTGAATATTATCTTATTTATCTACCACTATTTACTAACTCTCTTTTTATTCAGCCCTAGACTCAATCACTACAGTCCTTCTTTGAAAATCTTCTTATCCATCATCTTCTCCAGTTTATTACTATTGCCCGACTCCCATTTCGTATACTTAAATACCCTGAGTTCCAACAGCTTTGTGATATTATTTAACTATCTCCTTCTAAAATTAAGCTACCCTCTGCTCGGTCTATTCGTCGTCGGCTAGACCTTAAGATTCAACAAGGACAACAGAGTATACTCAATAAATTACCACAAGAAAGCAAACTTTCAATTGCATTAGACTGCTAGACATCACCTTTTTCGCAGACATTTATAGTAATTACTGGCTATTTTATTGATAATAACTAGGAATATCGCGAGGTTCTTCTTGGATTTGAGCCACTATATGGTTCATATACTGGAAGTAATTTAAGTTCCGTTGTTATCAATATTCTTAAGAATCACCAGATCATCGATTGAATATTATCTATTACGACAGATAATATAATAAATAACAATACTATGATTAATAGCATCCAAGAAGAGATTAAGGTACAAGGAATTGGTAATATAGGGGTCTTTCAGATTCTATATCTTACCTATGTGATTCAGCTAAGTCTTAATTAATTATTAAATAAAATAAAGGTAGTATCTATTAATAATAAGACTGAGATTGAGTGGTCGGATGAGCGTGTATACTTAACGCATCCTAAGCGCACAAACAGAAAAATAGTTGATACTTTAAATAAGATAAATCTCTTTTTCTCTCTTTCACTACAAGATTACTGACCTCTTACTATATATCTAGATTTGAAACCTTGCTATCTTTATTAATGTAAGCCCACAGCACCGCGAAGCCTTTTTAGGCCTTCAAACCGAAGAGCCTTATCTACTCCCTATTCAGGATGTCCGTACACGATGGAATTCTACCTTTCTAATACTCGGCCGTGCAAAGCGGCTACAGGAGACCTTTAAAAGATACTGTCAAACCCATGGATATCCCCAATTCCAACTTGACAAAGAGGAGTGGCGCCAGGTCGACTATCTACTTTGTATTACCCAGCCGTTCTTCAAATTCACTACTGCTCTTTCAAAGTCAAAGGATATTACTATTTATCTTATCTTTAGTATCTATAATAAGCTCTCTAGTTACCTTGAGACCTTCGAAGAGTAGCTTCGCCGGAAGAGGATTCCCTGGAAGTAAACTATGCTTCAAGTATTTCAAGCAGTAAGGG